TCATTTTCTGAGAAATTTAACTAAATTAAGTGAGTTAATGCTTAAAACAAGAAAAAAAATCTATCAATTAGCTATGAAATAATCTCAGTTACGTACGTAACCCTCGTTCCCTGTTGGAGAGAATTGAGACATTATGTCGTGACGGCATGAGGGGTCTTACTTGGGAGCTCCAATCACCTCTGAGTTTAAGAGTAAAGGCCAATGGAAATTGGTGAGTGGATTTTGCATGCTAAGCCACTCCCTCCATCCACTCATTTAGGTTTATGCGGAAGAGATAAATGCATCTTGATTTAAGAATGTTTACATATTTGCACTGGAAAACAAGACAAAAACACTGAAGCAAAACGCTTAAAACTGAATTAAAAGTAATTGAGAGTGGTTTGGAAGTTGAATTTTAATACAATGTATTATGTTCTTCCTAGACATTTACATTTAGAGAACACATTGATGTGTTGCGTCCCCTTTAATTTATTTTGTCAAAGTTTATTTTTAAAATGGTCTTTAAAAAAATCTTCAATTTACCTTCATAAAACCTGCAGAAACCCTGCAAGAAGGAGTGTATATTTTCTATATTTATAATTTACTGCATTAATGCATTTCTGGAATCTGTGTGTAGCAAAAGTAGTCAAGTAGAACAGTCACTGTGAATAAAGGCATCTGCTAAAATTAATAATGTAAATGTCATGTATGTCATATGTAGATATACTGTACATACATAAATAATGACAAAATGTTATTTTCGGAGTAAAAAAATCCTTTAAATGAAACCCAAAAGCCTGGGAAAGATTGGTGAGGGACCAAGGTGACAGTGAGATGGAAAATCACACAACATTTAGGAAATAACTACAATGTACACAATGTTCTTGAACCCCTCACCCCCAAAAGAAAGTCTGGAAGAAGGCAGCACAATTAAATTTGACTCTGCTGAGGTTCATCGTGTTCATGAGAAAACCATGTTCTGGCATGAGAGTCCCAACAAAGAAAAAGCCATTTTATTACCTGTCTGGGTCCTCTCCAAAAAGAGCTCTATAAACAACTTACAGAAATAACAATGGGTAATACCACACTTGACGAACTTTAACCACCATATCCAAACCACATCAATTTATTTTCCGGTAGTCTTAGGACCATTAGGTCGGTGTTGGAACGATTTGTCCTTCCAAAGCATCCAGAATGAATGTATCACATTTGTGCTAAATCCTCACTTGCAGGTCAGAGACTACAGCTGCAGTCCACATCATGTCTGTTTCAAATAAATATTGCGGCATTGACTTCAGACCAGGTTTCAGTTGGTCAAAGGTGCAGTTTACTTCAGTTGCCTCAAAATAGCAATGCGCCAGCAATGCGCCTGAACACACCTCGTTTTCAGACCAGCACGCCCATAGGCGCACAAATGGGCGCAAATGCATTTGCTATTTAAAGGGGTCATATGATGTTGCTAAAAATAACATTATTTCATGTATTTGGTGTAATGCAATGTGTTTATGCTGTTTAAGGTTTAAAAAAACACATTATTTTCCACATACTGTACATTATTGTTTCTTCTCTATGCCCCGCCTTTCTGAAACGTGTCGATTTTTACAAAGCTCATCGGTCTGAAAAGCGAGGTGTGCTCTGATTGGCCAGCTATCCAGTGCGTTGTGATTGGCTGAATACTTCAAGTGTGTGACGGAAATGTTACGCCCCTACCATATTGTGATGCCATGTCCGGCCGGAGCAACGAGACAAAAACATTAAAACCCA